AATCAATTGAATAATGCTAGATTGAGTTATTGAAGCTTTTCAAAACCAAAAAAAAATTAGGTTAAGTTATTACTGGTAACATAATTGATTATTGGTAAGTCACTACTTACTATGGGTAACCAAATACAGCGTTTGGGAAGTATTAAAAAATCCCTAACCACGGGTGGAATCCATCGATTTTCAGAAAGTGGCTGATTTTTGGACTTTTTCATAATGTCAAAAATATTTTTCACAAAATACAAAGCTTTATTGGTATTGTTAGATGCGAAATCTTCTAAGGATCATTTTGGTATAATCAAAACTGTGATTGGAAGAAATTTAAGGGAGATATTTGAGATTTTGGTGGGAACTGTAAAAATTGAAATATGATTTTTGAATATTTTTTTTGTCAGGTTATTTTAAAAGCTTAAAATCAAGAAATTTAAAAGGTTGATTAGTTTTTTTATAAATATAAATTGATAGAGAATAAGTTCAGATACAATATAAGGTATATCAGACATGAAATATTTAGACGGTATTGCAATTTTAATGATGATGGGGTCTAGGTCGATACCAAAGCAACTACTAGATTTCATTAATCTTAATGAAAAAAAATAATGACTTAAATTCATTTAAACTACTTATTTGATATATTCTTTTCAATCATTTGTTTGTTTTCAACATATAATCAATTAAATAATTACTCATGTATTTTTTTAAACCCAGTTGTTAAAAGATGTTTAGTTTTGTAAAGAAATTAAATTTCAACGGTAAACAATGTACGATTCTTTTGATATTAATTTTAAACATTAATTTATATTTATTAATTACATTAAAGTTTCATTGCTTTATATTTTTATAGCAGAGCAAAAGTCAGAGATTAATACATTTTATGCACTCTTTATATCATTCATTGAGCATCTACAATTACATACTTTCTAGTCAACAATATTTTGGTGGTCCAACTACTATAATCTGGTGGGTTTTGGTAACATTGTTCCTCATAAGAAAAAAAAAATAATTCTAATCATCAAAGTAGATGAGCAATAATTAGAGATAAGATCGACAATTATTATTGCAACGACCGACAGAATCTTATTTTTGAATCAAGTTCCAAGATATGACAAGTGCTAATAATTGTTATTTGAAATTTGGTACTGTAGGTGGTGGTATTATATGCACGTCTTCTAAGCGTCGTCGGAAAAACTTTAACCAAAATGCATATATGGATATGGAAATCGCGGTAGTATGACCTAGTTTAAATAAGCCGTTTGGTGTGTTGTTCTTTGTCAACGGTAACAAGACAGAGTTTAACGAAAATGGTTGGCGACAAGCCCACCATAAGCAGCAACATCGGGTATCCGTCTAGATATCAAGCAGACAGCACTGAACAGTTGTTCATGATAAAGCAATTAAATTTTCCTACAATATCAAGATGAAATAAATAACAATTCCAATAAAAAATTGTTTAAATGTTAGAGTGAAACGTCATGACAAAAGTTGTTAAAGAATCCATGATTTTGGTCAACAGAAAGATTTTCAGAATGTAAATCTAATACACGGTGATACAATCAATGGATTGAAGAGTCAACATTTCATTACCAGAAACGTATATAATCAGTATTAATAGTTTAATTTGAGATTGTGACGGGTTATGAAAACCATTGAGGCTGTCTTTTTTTTTTTATCATATGGTTATGATGTTATTTTATACCTGAATTGAAAGCGATTAAAACGAATTTCAAAATGGTAAAATGGAAAAATGGTAGTTTGAAACAGTTAAAACAGTTGAAAAAGTTGATTATCAATTTAAGGTAACAATGAAGTAAACGAGTGAGTGGGTGAGTGAGTAAGGGTATTTGAAATTTTGTAACATTCATTAATTAATGAGAGGTATAGTATGAGAAATTAAATGAGCAATAAAACAAAAAATAATTTAAACAGTTAAAAATCTTCCCAAAGTTGAAGTAAATGAGGAGTTAATAGGTTTATGGCCAATTTAAGAGGATTCTTAAGTTTGAGAAATATTGAATTGAGTATGAAAAACTAAAGGACTAGAATTAAGTGTTGAGAAATCAAATAAAAATAATTTAATGAATCGAACTAAAAGAAACATTAAAAGTAAACATTATATTTATTTGACAAAAAAGTAATTGTGATATTTGTTTTGTTTAAAATGGTTTGAACTTGAGAAAGTAGATTCCTGGTAAAATGAATCATGAAGAAGCTTTCAAAGGATTGTTTTTGATAGGAAAAAAAATGAATTAGAATAATATTTAAGTGAGAGGTAATGTGTATGGTGAAAGGGAAGGAAATGAGAAAAAACTGACATGCTAAAGAAGGAAAAAAAAAAAAAAAAAAAAAAAAAAGGATGAGAATTTGGACATGGAAGACCCTGGACACACCTCATACTGGTAAGTTACATAATAATTACCTAATACCACATATATAGATTGCATTAGACATTTTATGGAAAAGAAGAAGAAGAAGAATAAATACTGCATAAAAAGTACAATTTGTTATTTAAATTATATTTCAAATATTGATTTTAAATTTAAATAGGAAAATAATTGATTTTAAATTTAAATAGGAAAATAATTAATTTTTATATTTTTATTTCATTTTAATTTTTGTTTTCATGACCTTTTTGAAAAAGCATGAACACCTAGCCGATCTTTTCAATTTGAAGATATCAGTCCATCTTCGTTTTTTTTTTTTTTTTTCTTTCTTTCTCTTTCGCGGAAAGCCTTATATCCGCAGTTTAACAAGCTGGTTTACTTTTTGTGGTAAGACAATTCCATTATTATCTGTTAAATACTTAAGAGTAAACAAAACTTTTAAGAATATAAATCAAATGGTATATAAAGTCAATGAAAGTTTGATGTTTTTTTTTTTTTTATTTTTTATTTTTTAAAAGAATGAATTTCCCTTTTACACTCAAAACTTTTTTTTTAAAAAAAAATACAATTATTGGGGAAAGACAAATGAAAGAAGAAAACTTGAACAATACATATTAACTGGATTCAAAAAAAAGTTCAGCAACAACAACAACAATTTTACTAGACAGCTAACCAGTCATTATTCAACTATACAATAGCATATACTAGGAACGACAAAAAATAAGCTTTAAAGTCAGAATGACGATTGATTAATTTATACCGTTTAGAATTCATATAAATTTTTTTTTTTTTCCATTGGCACAAGTGAAATTAAAAGTAGAATAACAGTTTTTATTTATTTGGTTTCATTTAAAGACTCACCCTCCTCCCCTCACTTGATTATAAAAAAAAAGAGATATCAGACAATTGTTTTGTCTCTTTTACTGGTTAAAAAACAAACAAAGATGATTATGATTATTCTTTGAATAAAAGTTTCCCCCCACCACTCTCTCTCTTTAGGTCAAAAAAAACCAAGAAAAAGAGAAAATGGAGGAGTGAGAAAAGATACTTTTTAAAAACCAAAGTTGAGGGGAAATTCAAGGATGATCAGGTAAAGAGGGGTGTGGAAAAAAAAATTAAATGAAAGTTGTTCTAAGTAAGTACTTGAATTGTTTTAATTGATTGTAATGACGTAGAGAAACAAGTGTAACCAGAATAATGAAGATAAAATAAAATAAAATAAAATAAAAAAAAAACTCTACACTTGAGGAATTGTTAACATATTTGTGTTTGTGTAAGTTGAATTTTTTATTTTCAAATATATATATATATATATATATATATATATATATATATATATAAGCAAATGTTTTTGTGGTAAAAGGTGAATAGAGAGAAGTATGAAAAATGTCATTAACACTCCAAAAGCCATTAATAATTATTAAAAAAAAAAAAGAAAAAAAACCATAGCAATTATCATTTTTTATTTTCTAGTTTAGTACGTCAATGAGTTTATTTTATTTCAAATTGGGTATTTTCTTATTTTTTTTATTTTTTTTTTTGCTTTAAATATTTCAATAACAGCTTTCGATATTTTCAAACTTTCAATGACTACTGGTGTTAGTGTTACTACGTACATTCCAAAAAAAAAAAAAAAAAAAAAAAAAACTATTTCTATCACTAATAATCACTAATAATCAGTAATACAAATAAATAAATAATTTTTTTTAATCATCAATCCGAGGCCCATCTCCAAAGAATTCTCACAAGGCCCTTTTTTTTTTTATTTTATTTTTTTTATTTTATTTTAATTTTTATTTTAAATCGGAACGAATCCCATTTGGGGAATAAATAAAAAAAAATAGGCATTAAAAAGTTCCTTTGTGCCGAAACCTTCACGTGACTTATAAGTACTAATTGCCGAACTAACAAAAAAAAAAAAAAAAAAAAAACTGTTTGCCGTCTGCCACTAACAAAAAAAAAAAAAATACCAAGACATTTTATTTTATTTTATTTTATTTTATTTTATTTTATTTTATTTTATTTTATTTTATTTTATTTTATTTTATTTTATTTTATTTTATTTTATTTTATTTTATTTTATTTTATTTTATTTTATTTTATTTTATTTTATTTATTTATTTATTTAATTTTTATTTATTTATTTGTTAATTTTTTTTATTTAATCACAAATAAAAATATTGATTGATTAAATAATAATTTAAATAGAAAGGTATTTCCAAAGTATTTTTCAATATATTTCTAATTTTCAACAATCACTTTCAATAGTTTAAAAAAAAAAATCCACCCAAATACCTTTCTTCTTCTCCCCCCTTCCCCCCCCCCTTGTATTGTCCTATTCTTCATACTTCCGAAACAATATAAGATAGTAGGTGCCTTTTCTCAATTCTATTTGTGGGGGGATCCGTCCGATTGTATCCCCAGTAGCAACCTGGGGTAATACGTTATACGGGGAAAGTAGACTGGCGGGATTCTGTTAATCGTCAAAGTTTATTTTTATTTTTATTTTTTAAAATTTTTATTTTTTTCAATTAACATTAAATAAATTATGAAAAAAATTTATTATTTTTTTTTTTTTTTAAATACAAAACAAAATACAAAAAAAAAAGTTATTAACCAAATTTAAGGGTGTTCATCATCAACAACCTTTTCACGTCCAGTGACAGTTGAAGGCATGAGAAGAACAGGAGGAACGAAAAGAGCGTTTTCATTAGTAGCCAGACCTTCATAAATGATGTAAAATCCAAAGCAAGATGTGATGATACCAAAAACACCAGCAGCTTTGGTGAGATGGTCAGCAGCAACAACGCTTGCAGAGTAAGCAAGCTTTGATGCACAGAGGGTAGTATGTGTGAGGGCAACAAAGAACATCATAGTGCAAAGAACCCAAGTTGATCTGAAGGTAAGAATCCACATGATTGTAGAGAAAATTGAAAATGCCAAGAGAAGAAAGCCAACAAAGTTACTAAGTTCACCTGTAGAAGAATAAGAAGAGGAAATTCCAAAGACATCGACGATAATCATAGAGTAAGAAAACCAAAAGCCAGCAAAGGAAGAAAGAAGGGTTCCAGCCCAAGCATTTTCCAAAGCAATACACCACATGCCAGCAACCAACTCAATAAGACCAGCATAAAAGAGAGCGATACCAAACATTCCTTGACCGTTAGAGACGCCACGGGCATTAAGGTTGACAAGAGACATGATAAAGACTGGGATACAGAAGGATGCAACACCCATGGGGACTGGGTTACCAAACTTGTGAGTTGGAGCTTTTGAAAAACCTGGGTTGAGGTAACCTTCAAATGCTCTCATGAATTCATCCTTATGGAAGGTCATTCCTCCTAATTGGACATGGGTGTCAGATGTGAGGACTCTGCAGATACCTTGAGAAGAGGCGATAAAGTCATGGTTTGGGTGTGGAGAGATATGGTATTCTTCGTTTGTAGATGAGAGCTTTGATTCGGACATTGTGAATGGGTAGTATGTAAGTATATATATGTATATATTAGATTAGGTTAGGATTATTGTTGAATTAGAATTAATAAAAAATGATAATGAAAGTATTAAAAAAAAAGAAGAAGAAGAAAATGATGGAGAAAAGAAAAAAAAAAAAAAACCGGGGGAGAATCTGGGGGATTTTTATATGAGTTTGGAAGAGAAAGGTTAAAATGGATGTATAGGATTTGAGGGGAAACTTTTTTTTTTTTTTTTTTTTTTTTATACAATGTAGTAAAATTTTTATTTTTATTTTTATTTATTTATTTTTTTTTTTTGGCCCTATATTAAATAGTATTTGACATCCCCTGGAATTTATTTAAGTGACAGTTTTTTTTTTCTTTTGAAAAAAGTTTTTTTTTTTGTTTTAAAAAGTACATATATATATATATATAGGTCTATATGATGATGATTGCTGATTTTCTGGGGTTATTTCAGATTAGAATGAATTGACCAAAACCTGGGTATGTAGACTGGAGTTTCGCCAGTCTTGAAAGTTGGCCCTTTTTTTTTTTTTTTTTTTTTTTATTTTATTTTAAAATTTTTTTTTTTTTTTAATTCTTATGTAGAATTGAATGAAAAAAAAAAAGCAAATAAAAAATAAAATCCGCGGGGTAAAGAATAAAATTATTTTTTTTATATTTTTTATATTTATTTATTTCCTTTTTGGGAAGAAATTAAAAAAAAAAAAAGGAATGTCAACAATGTTACATGACTTTTTTTTTTTTTTTTTGGGTACAGGTATCCGTTAAAAGATGGGAAAAAAAATAGTATAAAATAATAGTATAAAATAATAGTATAAAATAATAGAATAAATAAATAAAAAAAATAAATGAATTTAAAAATTTAAAAAGAAAAAGAAAAAGAAAAAAAGAAAAAAAAAAAGAGAAAGGGCCTTAAAGTGGGGATTAAATGAATAGAATAATAGAATAATAATAGAAATAACTGTGATTGTATATTTATATAAACAAATAATTGATGTTATATACTTTTGACTTTACGGAATAAACAAAAAACAAAAAGTTCCCTTTTAATTTATTATTATAATAAAAATAATAATAATAATAATAATAACAATAATAATAATAATAATAATAATAATAATTATAATTATAAGCAGTACAAAAAATAATCCGGTCATAAAAGATAGATAGGCTGACCGTCAGAATAGATACGTCAACCATTTCTATTAAAGAAAAAAAAATGTAGAAAAAAAAAAAAAAATAAAAGATTTTTTTTTTCTTCTTCTTCTTATTCTTATTCTATTTGTTTTTAAACAATTTGGATTGGCAGATGGATGTTTTTTTATTTTATTTTATTTTATTTTTTTTGGTTTACGAATCTATATATATATATATATATATATTAAAGAGAATAAATAAAAAATAAAAAATAAATAATTTAAAATCTGGGGAAGCACTTGAGTGGAAAGCCAAGAGAAATAAAATAAATAAATAAATAAATAAAATAAAATAAATAAAATAAAATAAAATAAATCACCCACCCCCCCTCGGATTTAAAAAAAAAAAATCACTTTATAGAGGGTTTTTCCGGAGTGTTGATGATAATAAATTTTTTTTTTTTTTTATTTCTTGTGAATTTCCAATAGAAATTTATAAATTTCTAATAAAAAAATATGTGTGGGGAAATATTTGAGGAGAATATATAAATTAGGAAACATTGAATATTATTCTTTAATTAATATATATAAAATTTTTAAAAATTTATATTAAGTATTTAAAATAAATACTAAAATAATTAATTATAACTAAATAACTTTAATTTATCTTATCGGGTACATGTACCTTCTTGTTAAAAAAAAAAAAAAAACTTTGCGGGGACCCATCCGGAACTTTTTTTTTTTTTTTCCCCCAACTATTGGTGAGTGTGATTGAGTTTAAAAGTATTAAATAAAATGAGTGGGAGGGGGGCAAAGAAAGAAAGAAAGAAAGAATGAAAGAAATCAATAATTATTATTTTTATATCGATTACTACATAGTTATAGTTATGAAAATTTAGTTATTTATTTCTTTAAAAAAATAAAAGTGGAGATTCTTTAAAAAAAAAAAATTCTTTGAAATCCTTTGAAATCCTTTGAAATCCTTTGAAATCCTTTGAAATCCTTTGAAATTCTTTTTATTTAAATAAATTTATAAAAAAAAAAAAAATGCAAGTAGACATATTATATAATGAGCCGCATAATGCCAAAATAAGTAACACTATAATATAACCCCTCCATCCAAAATTTTCACAACCACCAAAAAAAAAAAAAAAAAAAAAACTCCCATCAAAAAATCATCACCAGCATTCATTCATTCATTTAAATCAATTCAATCTATTCAATCTATTCAATCTATTCAATCTATTCATTCCAACTTATGTCCGCCCGAAGAACTCAACGATCTTTTTCCTCAACACGACGTAGTACAAGTGCAGACGCTTCAGATTACGCATCCCCTCCAACTCATTCCTCTAATAGTAATAGTAATAATAATAATAATAATACCCCTCTTTCTTCTTTCTCACCACAACAACCACTACTACCATCATCCTCTACAATTCCTCGCGCTCACTCTCCACAACGTAGAGCTCCAGGGTCTGCCCCTGCATCTCTTCCACCTGTCCCCTCTTCTTCTATATATAAAGATCCATCATTAAACATGCCCTTATCTTCTTCTTCTTCTTCTTCTTCTTCTTCTTCATCTTCTACTTCTTCTACAAATGTATCCTCATCAACCCCCCCAGACGAGCTCCCAGCTCTCGGTGGACCTGGGTTCGGTCTCTGGCGTGCCATTGCAGGTGAACTCCAAAAATTGGCAAGTGCAGCCACTGAACGTGCTGCAAAAAATATAGCTGTCGATGAAAGCCCGCTGGCTGGGCTACTAGCTGTTTACGATGTAGCAGGTGCTCGTGTTCTAGACGACTATCTTGCACAAACTCTTCGTGAGCGTAAATCAGCAACAGCAACAAAAACAGTCACCTCAGCAGGAGTAGGAGTAGGAGCAGGAGCAGGAGCAGGAGCAGGAGCAGGAGCAGGAGCAGGAGCAGGAGCAGGAGCAGGAGCAGGAGCAGGAGCAGGAGCAGGAGCAGGAGCAGGAGCAGGAGCAGGAGCAGGAGCAGGAGCAGGAGCAGGAGCAGGAGCAGGAGCAGGAGCAGGAGCAGGAGCAGGAGCAGGAGCAACAGGTACTGCAAACCGCAATGCAGGTGTAAGACGCACCAAGCGCGGAATTAAAAAACGCGTGGTAGTGCCAGATGACGAAGATGACGAGAATGGTACAAAGGATGATTTGGACAATGATGACGGTGGACTTACAGCTGCTGAAGATGCGTCTTCGTCGAACGATGGTGATGAGATTGTTAATGGAGACGATGAAGAGGAAGCTATTTTAAAAGCTACCCAAACAGAGGCTGGAGCACTTGGACGGGCATACCGTGAAGCTCGTGCAGCTGTAGCTGCAGAGAAAAAAACAATAGAAGAAGTTTTAGAGTCTCTCCAAAGACTGGTCCCGGACTCTGCAGTGGCGGCCATGCGACCTGGGGCTACAGCAGCACGACTACGACGGGTAGCACGTACTGGTCCATCAGGATTAGTAGGATCAACATCAACTACAACTACAACTACAACTACAACAGTAGCGTTAACAGCAACAGCAGCAGCAACAGCAGGTTCAACTTCTGGTGAAGTTATGAGTACTGATGGTGGGTCGAAGAAGAAAAAGGATGAAGATGAAGTTATGACAGGAACCACTGGGTCTTCCAGTGCTAATATTCAAAGCACAGGTACTGGGACAACTCCAGGAACAACGACGCGTAAACGACGCGCGACTGAAGATAGCTTTGAGAGTGGAGCAGGGTCTGCTCGGAATGCGAAACGCAGTAGAGCAATGTCAATGGCATCATCATCATCATCATTGTCATCTTCAAATAATACAACAACAGCAGCAACATCAACAGAATTATCTGGAGTGTTTGGAGTCCCGTTATCGGGTACCAGGTCTGGGTCTGCAAGCGATACATCGTCACCGTCTCCTGCAGCAACTGCAACTTCTTCAAACAACGGTGTAGTCCCTACTCAACAACAACACCACCAACAACAACAACAACAACAGCAACAGCAACAGCAACAACAACAACAACAACAACAACAACAACAACAACAACAACAACAACAACAACAACAACAACAACAACAACAACAACAGCAACAGCAACAGCAACAGCAACAGCAACAGCAACAGCAACAGCAACAGCAACAGCAACAGCAACAGCAACAGCAACAGCAACAGCAACAGCAACAGCAACAGCAACAGCAACAGCAACAGCAACAGCAACAGCAACAGCAACAGCAACAGCAACAGCAACAATCTTCCAGCGGTTCTGTTTTATCTTCGTCATTGCCCACGTCATCTTCATCTTCATCTTCATCAACAACAACAACAACAACAACTTCCAACACATCTTTGCAACAATTGGCACCACCAACAACTGCATTTTCGATTGACCAGTACCACCGTGCTGTGTTTAACGGGTTCCCAGACCGAGCTCTTCCGATTGGGTCACAGGTAGCTTTACGGTTACGCAAGACTCGTGCAACTTCTGAGGAAGAATGGATCCAATGCGCAGTGACTAAGATTTATAACGATGGAGTCAAATATGAAGTTCGAGACCCAGAACCTGATGAAAATGGGAATCCTGGACAATCTTATAAAGCTAACCCAAGAGATTTATTGCCAATCCCAGAAACTCAAACACAAATTGCACAATTACCTCTTTACCCAGTCGGATCTCAGGTTCTAGCTCGGTACCCGGAAACAACAACCTTTTACCGGGCCGAAGTTATGGGAACAACTAAGCGTGATGCAAGGTACCGACTTAAGTTTGAGGGTGAGGAAGAAGAAAATAAGGAACAAGAAGTTGAACGGCGGCTGGTTCTGCCGATCCGAAAGTGAAAATTTACGAAAGCAAGAAATTGAGAAATTGAGAAATAAAGAAAGAATATAAATAAATATTTATAAATAGATTAATGATTGGGAAATTTTTTTTTCTTCTTCTTCAAATTATATAAAACAACAAGAGCATCACGTATATATATATATATATATTCACACACACAAACACACAACATAAAGATCAATCAATCCTAAGACTCAGGAGCTGAAGTAGCAACAGGAGAGGCATCAGGAATGACAGTGTCAACGGGCTCACCAGCAAAGCCATTTGTTGAGGGTGCAGAAACAACACTGGCAGGAGCCGAGGGAGTTGCGACTGGAGTGACTACAGAAGAGCCATTGCCTGCAGCAGTGGTAGCAGCAGAGGAAGTAGAGTCTGGGTAAGTTGCAAAGGAAATGACCAAGGGTCTATTGCCATAGACATAACCATTAAGCTTTTCAATAGCAATATGGGCTGAGGCAGGGGTATCAAACTGAACAACACCAGAGCCTGCAGAGCGACCACTGGGCTCAAGCTGAATCTCAGCACGTGACACAGAGGCTACAGACTGGAAAAGTTCAACAAGGTCTTGGTCGGTGGTAGCCCAAGGCAAGTTGGAGACAAAAATGGTGTCATTGACCTGGCCATTACCCGAAACACCATCTGTAAAGGGGCTGCGCTTGACAGGGCCATTGTAGTTGGCAAACCCTGAAGAGGAGGAGGAGGGAGGTGAGGAGGAGGAAGAGTGGTGGGGCAGCAGGGAGTTGCCACTTGGGTTGTTGTTGTTGTTATTATTATTGTGGTGGTGGTGGTCTGAGGAGCGAGGGGGGTAAGGACGGGATCCAGGTCTTGCACCAGGACGGTAGAAACGGTCGAGACGGACCTCAAGGGGTCTTCCATTAAACTCGTAACCATTGAGACGGGCAATTGCATTGTCAGCATCAGCTGCAGTGTCAAAGAGGACGACACCAGTACCCTTTGAGCGACCCTGGGATTGAAAGACATCTGCATGAAGAACGGCACCTGCAATTTGAAACAAGCTCTTAAGTTCTTTCCAAGTGACAGAAAAGGGAATGTTTGAAACATAGACCTGGGTTGGTTCTGAGGAAGAAGCTGAGGAAGAAGAGACTGAAGAGGAAGAGGCCAAATGGGAACGTCGGTCATGGCCATAAGAGGGGCGGGCAGCAGGAGCCTTATTTTCAGATTCTCTATCTTCACGAACAAAGATGGATCTGCCATTGATTGATTGGTTGGAGAGGACTTCAATGGCGCGTTTTGCTTCTTGAGGGGTAGCATATTCAACAATACCGCAACCCTTGGATTTGCCATTAGGGAGGGTAAGAACATCAGCGTTGATGACTTCACCGGCTGTAAAAGAGAAAGAAAGAAAATAAAAATGTTAGTTAATGAATATTATTAAAATAATAATAAAAATAATAATAATAGAATTAGACATACCTTGTCTCATAAAGTCTTTAAGTTCGCCCCACTTGACATTGTAGGCGAGGTTACCAACGTAGACGCGGCGGTCTTGAGAGGAAGAAGATTGTTGAGATGACATGTTGTTGTTATTATTATTATTATTGTAATAGGATGATGATGATGAAGAATCTTCCTTGAAACGTCTACTAAATCTATCGCCTTGATGGTAGTCGTTATAAGATCTACTACGAGAATCGTCTGGCGAGAATGATCTTGAGCGCCGTCTTGGTGACTAAAAAACAAAAAACAAAAAACAAAAACGGGGAAGGTTTGTTGTTAGTTGGGTTGGTTGGTTGGTTAAAAGAAGAGTTTTTCTTTTAAAAAAAATTGGTGGTGGTGCGTGAGAATTTTTTTTTTTTATTTTATTTTATTTTATTTTTTTTTTTTTTTTGGTGGTTGTAATGATAGTTGTAATAGTTGTAGTTGTTTTGGTGGTGGTGGTGGTGGTGGTGGTAATGGTGGTAATAGAGATGGTGGCGCCAATAAGGTAAGTAGACGGTTGGTTGGTTATGTGGGTTAGGGCTTTCCAATTTATTTTTTTATTTTTAATAATGGTGGTAGTGAATAAAAAAAATAAATAAAATCTCACAATAGCCGGGTAACTTTTTAAAATAAAAAAATTCATAAATAAAAAAAAAAAAAAAAAAAAAAATCATAAAAAACTTACTCTGCGATAGGAGCGGTCAGAGCCGTGGTGGCGATACGTAGCTATTAAAAAAAAAAAAACAACAACAGACAACCAAATGTTAGTATATAAAATGAAATCTTAAAATGAAATATAAAATGAAATGAAATAAAATATATATATCAACTAGATTATTAATGATAAAAAAATAAATAAATAAAAAACATACACATGATGATAATAATAATAATAAAAAATGATAATAATAATAATTGATGGTATCTAAAATTAAAAAGTTAGTTAGTTAGTCAATCAATCAGAGACCATAGAAAAAAAATGGTATTAATTAAAATAATAATAATAATAATAATAATAATAATAATAATAATAATAATAATAGTAATAGTAATAGTAGTAGTAATAATAAATAGTAAAATAGTAGTTGATTTGGTTTAGCAAAAGAGTATGAAATGGAACAAAAAAATAGAAAGGGTCTCTTCAAAAAAAATTTTTTTTTTTTTTTGATATGATGACTCTAGACCATGTATTGATTTATTGATTGATAGATAGATTGATCCCTTCTTTTGTAAAATGTTTTCATTAGATTGATTGAGTGATTGATTGATTGATCATTTATTTCCCTTCATGTTTTCCTTTTTTTTTTTTTTTTTTTTTCCAAATGGCCCCCATTCCTTCCATAATCAAACCAGCAGCAACTCTATCCATCTATCCATCTATCCATTCATCCAACCAACCATCCAACCATCCATTAATTCATTTATCTATCCATCCATTTGTATAGGAATATCCCCCAAAATCTTTCCCTCATAATAAATAAATAAATAGAAAAAAAAAAGAGCCCATCCCTAATTTTCAATCAAATCTCTTCAATAGTAAAAAAATAAAATCCCCCCTTCCCCTTATCTGTAAATCAAATATCAAATATCAAATATCTTCAATAGTAAAAGCCCTTTCTTTAAAATCAAATATATTCAATCTCAACCCTTCTTCATTTATTCATTTATTCATTCATTTTAATTTTTTTTTTGTCTTGCACCCCCCAGCTACTCATCTTTCATTCTTTCATTCATTCATTCATTCTTTCATTCATTCATCAAACAAACAAACAAACAAATAAAAAACTCACTTAGTTTTTCTTTCCAATAAAAAAATCTAAGGATTCCCTTAAATTCGATACACTTCAATAATTACTGCTGCCGTTGCTGCTGCTGCTGCTGCTGCTGCTGCTGCTGTTGATTCTGAGTCTGATTCTGATTCAGCTTTTGCTACTACTGTATGGTCCAAAACAAAGTCTTCTTTTATTCCTCCCCCTGCAAACTCTTTTTTTTTTATAAAAAAAAAAACTAAAATATCACATGACTTGAATATTCCCTTTTAGGCAACACTTACAAAAACCTCAAATATTCAGATATTCAGATATTCAAATATTCAAATTTCAAATTATTTCTTTCTTTCTTTCTTTTTTTTTTTTTTTTTCCCTTAAACAATACAATACAATACAATACAATATAAAATTCAACTCAATTCAATTCAATTTATCCCATTCAATTCTAATCTACTGAAACTGCGCTCGTAACCGCTCAGATAACTTGCCACGTGCAAACTGATATGCACTCAAAAGTCCCTGTTCAGATAACTCAATGTTAGACAAACTTGTTGCCTCAGCTGTAGGAGCCCTAGATACCCGCGATTCCAAAACTGCAGGATTAACCTCCAACACAACCCCAGAGTCAATAGCTTCATCCACAACAAGTGACAACAAATCATAATTCTCCAATAACGCTCGCTTATCAACTGCCACCCGAACCAAGTGTGCAAGTGCATCATGAATTCCAGCCAGTGCCTGATACAACAAAACTTCATTCTCATCAACACCATTCCCAACAACATACAATGTCACATCAGCAACTTGTTTGTATGCAACCACACAATCCTCATACAGTACAACATCAGCACCCTGCTTATAAGTCTTCTTAAATAATCCTTGCTCAAACGTTCGCTGCTCCTTCACAACCTGAGCAAGATCAGTGGTTGTTTGATGGTGTGGACCAGTCTCGCTCTTGGGTTCCGAGGCTGCAGCTGTCTTGCCAACCGGCGCAATGGCACTAGAATCGTGTGGGGCTCGGTAATACTTGGCAAACACGCGCTTGCCCTCATTGTCCAGAATCAGAAATGCCTTGACGGCGTATAGCGACATTTCAAACATGGTGGGGATTTTTGGTAATGTTATTAATGTTATTAATGTTGTTTATGTTGTTGATGTTATATGTTTGTTTATGTGTTGGTATTTAAAGTATTGTGTAGGTGGTAGGAAAGCCCCGAAGCCTTTTTTTTAAAACGCCAGAGTGTTTATACTTACTTGGCTTTCTAAAGACAGGGTAACACTCCTTCTTTAAACCATCAAAATTATTTTAACTTATTTTAATTTTAATTTTAATTAATTTTAAAATAAGTTAAAATAAATTTTTTATTTAAATTTAAATTTAAATTTGAATTTTAAATTAAATAAATTAAAAAAAAAAAAAATTAATTCCTTACCAAACCTCCAAAAAAAAAAAAACTCGGCCTTCCAACAATCCAACCCAAATGGACTCCAAACCAACAACCTCTGAGTCCGACTTTTTTTTCGCTCTCCTACGTATCGCAACTGCTCAGATATTTCGTGCAGCTGGTATTGAGCGATGCCCTCCCACAGTCCTAGATACTGCCACAGACCTTGTTCGTCGTCATTTACTTTTATTAGCCACAGAGTCTACTACATTTGCATCTCTTGCAGGTCGTTCTCTCGTTGCTATTCCAGACTTAGCTCAGGCTTTTCAAACAACAGGTTCTGTTCATCCCTATGTGACTCTTGATCTTTCTGATGCAGCTCCCGATTTTTACCGAGATGCAGAACGGAAAAGACTTAAAGCTAATGTCAATGAAGAACCAGATGCTGCAAAACGAGCAGAATGGCTTACTCATGTTACTGCTGAAAGACAACGAGACTCGTGCGTGGCTGGATTTGTGGCACTTGTAGATTGGGCAAAAGGAAGTGCGGCAGCTACTATTCGTGCAGTAGCTCATGGAGCCTCAAGTAACGCAGATCCACAGCAAGCCAATAAGCTTTGCAAAGAACCTTCTGCATCTAACGAAGATTCTTCTTCCACAAATACCCTACAGAATACTACTAATACAAATACAAATACAAATGCTACTTCTTCTACTACTACAACAACAACAACAGCTACAGCTACGGCTACAGCCACTACTAATACAGCCAATAATAATACCCAACCTAATGCCATCTCTATAAACACAACTACCCCGAACCCTGACGCGTCGCTGGCGGCGCTCACAACCCCGGCATCTCCACCTACTGACTTACCTGCCACAGGAGCAGCCTCAGGTACAACCACAAGTAATTCTTCTGGAGTTTCTATTTCTTCAGACGACTGGCTACGGACCATGCTTGCACGGCATGGTAGTATGCGTGTTGGTCATGAGACCCGATTAGCTTCTACAGTTCTTGCACGGTCATTAGTTCGACGACCGCCTACACCTGATCATAATGAAAATCATAAAAGTCCTAAGCGACGACGACATAATTATGAAGAAGAAGAAGAGGAAGAGGAAGAAGAGGAAGAGGAAGGAAATCATAAACGTAATAAAGAACATCATGAAGAAGAATATGAAGACCGAAAATATAATGATAATGGGGATGATAAGTATGATGATGAGAATGATGATGACGACTTGGGAAATCGAAATCGAAATCGAAATCGAAATTATAAAGATTTGCCAGATAACCCGTCAAGACTCACAATATATGGCGGGCCACCCACTCTAGAACTAGCCAGTGCATCTCTCCATTCCTCTTCTTCTAAACGCAAAAAGCATTCTATAGCTACAAGTTAATTTAGTTATTATTATTATTATTATTATTATTATTATTATTATTATTATTATTATTATTATTATTATTATTATTATTATTATTATTATTATTATTATTATTATTATTATTATTATTATTATTATTATTATTATTATTATTATTATTATTATTATTATTATTATTATTATTATTATTATTATTATTATTATTATTATTATTATTATTATTATTATTATTATTATCATTATTATCATTATTATCATTATTATCATTATTATCATTATTATCATTATTATCATTATTATCATTATTATCATTATTATCATTATTATCATTATTATCATTATTATCATTATTATCATTATTATCATTATTATAATTATAGTATTAAAAGTACAAAACATTAGTTTATTTTTTTTTTCTTTTCTCTTTTTTTTTATCATGTATAATCCAAGGTTTCTTTTTTTTTTTTTTTTTTTTTTTTTCTTGATCATCATCATCATCATCATTTTGCCTCATCACTATTGCCATCTTCAGCACTCGTTCCATTATTGCTGCTACTAACTGTCTGCTGTACAGCAACTAGTCCGCCATCAGTCCCTGCAGGTCCCTCTCTTGCCACAGTCACAACTGCACTCGAGACCGGCATTGCACTGCCTTGACTTGTCCGGTATTGTTCGATTCGTGCAAAAATCTCCTTTGAAGGTAAATTCCCAACACTAGTCGTAGTAGTAGCTCCACCTCCAATACCCCCAGTGCTATTTCCACTCTCTTCATTCATCCCAAACTCTCCATGAAGAATATCAAGCACCTCGGCAGGCACCTTGGCAAACCGATCATACTCCCGAATAAGTGTATTGACTGCTTCAATCGACAAAAAGTATCCTTCAGATGAGTCTGTCTGCCCATTCTCTCGCTTCCGCGTATACAAAATATTAGGCGTAATCACAGTAGACAAGTTATGAATGTCCATCTTTGACCCAGACTCTTCGTCAATATGTGAAAACGAAGCAGTCCAAAACAAAAAGTAAAAAAGCACCTCCATCACATCTCGGTGTGCTCCAGGAAGAATGCAACATCCCAAGTGCATCACCCGGACCCGCTCTTCAACATCAACAATCTCTTGTGAATTCACCCACAGCTTCTGCAGTTTAAATGTCATTAGCGAGTCAGGAAGCTCTCTCAAGTACCGCTTAAACAGTGCCGCCAACTGAATCGGATTTTCGTCAGTAAACAGCCCAGCATAATCTGGGTTATTATCCACCATTGTCGCAAGTTCCTTCGATCGTCGAATATTACCATTTTTCCGGAAAACACCCTCAACACTCATATCCATTTGTCGCATCGCCGAAATGCATTCATCCACAAATGCTGGAATCCGCAATGGATTGGGACCAACCCCAAAAATCGAATCAACTCCATACTGCTCAACTTGCTGCTCTAGCGAAACACCAAACACACCAGTCTTGCGTGGCCGCCGCTTGTCGTCTGCAGCAGATCGGTCATTCAGACTAAACGCTTTATTAAACTTGTCCCAAAGGCTAGGCGCCTTGCGCACTCCAATAACATCGCACAGCTCTTCCAGCGTATACCATGTAGAAACAAGAGGGTGCAACTGTGAAACTGCAATGTGTCGAACAATAAACAGTTCCTCTGGTGTCAAGTCTGACATAAACTTTTCAGTCACAGGCTTCTTTTCATGAACATCCTGTACAGGAACATCTTCATCCGTATTCATGTCTTGTCGTCGATGACGGTATGCATTAGGTCGCAACTCGCGTGCCTGCTCGGCAGCCACAATACGAGGGATATCATCAAGAATCAGCGATTTTTCACTCTTGAGCAAATCAGTGGTGCGATCCAACTGAGTGTATTCTCTGTTGATGGGATCTTCTTCAATCATTAACCGTCGCCGCCGGCTACCTGAACTAAACTTACGTCCACGGCTTTTAGAGAAACTGCTAGGTGGAGACGATTCCATTGGTACATTTTCCAAAATATTGTCTTCTTTTGCTTCAGGAACTCTTGAAGGAATTCCTTGATTGTGCATCTTAACTAGTTGCTGTGGGGATTGCTGCTGAGGACCAGGCAAAGAAGTAGACGAATCATTCTTCCCAAGTAACCCATGTTCACCATCGGGGATATCCAAAATGCGCGATCTGCGTGCGCGTCGGGAAGATTCAGAAAGCCGTTGGCTTAGCCGAGTTGATCGCAGCTTGCGAATGTCCTTTAGTGTAGTCATGTAATTATCTGCAGGTGGAGGAACAGCAGTAGTAGAGGTAGAAGTAACAGTATTGCCAGTTTTAGATGACTTGCCCTTTGAAGATGATGATGATGAACTTGTAGAAACCAAAGGAACAGAGTTGGAAGAACGTCGAGGACTCATAACTGGTCGTGAATCTTGAATGCGAAGAGGTGGAGGAGCAGTAACATTAGCAGCAGCAGCAGCAGCAGCGGCAGCAGCAGCAGCTTTATTAGCATCACGCTTGTCATACGATTTGAGAACCAGTCTCAACCTAGCCAAGGCAATCTTAACCAAGTAAATAAACTGGTTAAGCTTAGTCACCACCACAAAGTTGTCCAACGATTCCTCATCAGGCTTTAAACAACTTGTGCATACAACCACCTTTTCCTTTGTAAGGTAGCGCGCATCCTTGACGCATGAACCCAGGGGCTTATGACACTTACTGCAAGCCAAACAGTCTAAATGCCACAGCTTATTATCGTCCAAAACTGCACAATCGTCTTCTGTAGAGTCTTCACACGCTAGACACTTGTCATTAGCCTTTCCAGAAATGGACAGCGTTTCCAAGGGGTTTGCAGGAATTTGATCATGTGTAGCCACCTTGTCGAGGAAAATCGCCACCAAATTTCCTGGAGGGAAAGCCCGATCATATCGTAAAGAGTTGGACAATCCGTATCGAATGAGGAGCTTCAAGTAATGTGCCATACTGGTGACAGAGTCCAAGAGTTCATGTGAAATTCCAGATGTTTTAACGCTGCGGTCTCTACTCTTGGATAAAAGAGACATGAAGCTCACCACTTTTTTGCACAAAGTTTTGGGCTCCTTATAAAGCTGAGTAAAGCCAGCATTACGCACCGACTCAATCAGGTTTAAAAACTCTGGATCTTCATCAGCCAATTCTTCAGGAAGTGACTCGTCTATGCTTCTCAGAGCACTAAGCAGTGGATCGACATGAGCAATTAAAATGTCAATTGCAGAAAGTAACACTTCAATCTTAGCCACAAGTCGTGCAGTGGCTAGCAGAGCATCATTATATCTTGAAGAGGTTGCAAATTGAAGCATATCAGAAATGCATGCTGCTGTAGCTTCTTCATACCCACAGAGCACAGACCAAATATGGAAAGCCTTACGTTCAGCATCTTGTTCAGTTTGTAAAACCAACTCGCGGGTTTCAGGGTTTGGGGATTTGGGAGGCTCATTATCAAGAGGTTCCTTAGAGTCTTGATTATCGTAAACATGGAGACGTGTGGGGGAAATCATTACATTCCAAAACTTGTTAATCATATAACATTCTGGGTGCCATTGTTGTTCACGACCACCTCTGAAAAGTTCTACAAATTGTTTGAGAATTGCAGTTTTGCAACCCTCACACTTTGCAGCATAGAGAGTAGAATAGTGGTAACGACAGTAAATGCTATTTTCATGCTCATAATAACTGTCATCATTTCCAAAAACAGTTGAGCAGAGAGAACAGGTAAAATGTTCGACATGATACTTCTTGCCCAATGCGGTAATGTAAGACCCGCGGAGAGCACCATCGCATACACAACAGAGTAGATCTTGTCTTCCAAAATAATCATGTTCGCAGAGGGGGATGAGGTTATTTGTTTCTGGAATTTCCACAGGAGCCTCAACGGGGAAGAATTTTGCAGAACATTGTTTCCCGCAATCGTAGCAACAAAAGCATTCCATGTGGTAAATGCAACCTAAAGCACGCACAAAATGGCCTGGGATTGGTTGTTTGCACTTGAAGCAATATTTTGGTTGGCGTTTTGGCTTGTCGTTATTGTTGCTGGTGTTATTATTACTATTGTTGTTGTTACCATTATTATTATTATTATTATTACTGTTGTTGGTGTTGTTATTATTATTATTATTATTATTATTATTATTATTACTGTTGTTGTTGTTGGTGTTGTTGTTGTTGTTGTTATTGTTATTATTATTATTATTATTATTATTATTATTATTATTATTATTATTATTATTATTATTATTATTGTTGTTGTTGTTGTTGTTGTTGTTGTTGTTGTTTTTATTGCTGTTGGAGTTGCCTTCATCATCATCATCATCATCATCATCACCATCTAGGGGTCTACCATCAGTCACTACAGCCATACTTTTGTGGCGGTCAGCCGAGACCTGCACGGCTTCAGGGGGTAGTGATGATAAAGTTGTAGTAATAGAAGAGGTTGAAGATGGAGGTAGAGTTCCAGTAGAATCTTGAGCCAGGGTGATTGCAGAATTGGAAGTTTGAGGAGAAACAGATATGGATCGGTAAGGTCCAGAGTCTAAAGTAGTTGTAAGTGTATTGTCAGGGATAGCAGCAATAGCAGCAATAGCAGCAATAGCAGCTGAAGCAACAACAGTATTAGAACTATTTGTGGTAATTGTAGCATCCTCAGGTTTACGAAGTGAAAACCGACGATGGTACGAGTCCTGAGGACCACGAAGTTTTGGAGGTGGGTTCATTGGACATGAGTTTATGTTTGAAGAAGTAGAAGAAGAGTTAGAAGATGAGTTCGAAGAAGAGTTAAAAGATGATGATGAAGAAGAAGAAGATGAGGAGGAAGAAGATGAGGAAGGAACCACGTCTATAGGAGAATGCTGCTGGTCAATATGAGAGGAAGATGTATTATTATTATTATTATTATTATTATTATTGTGGAAAGGAGAAGGACGTGAAAAGTTTACTGCACGAGAAGCCTGAGAAGGTCTACTAGCAGAAAAAGAAGAAAAAGCTGGTTGGACTGGTTCTGCTGGAGTGTAAAAAGTTTCAGGAGAAGGCAGGCCACTGTAAGAATGAGCATGGTGGTGGTTGTGTTGATGTTGTTGATGAAGTTGGTGATGTTGGTGATGTTGGTGATGTTGGTGATTTTGGTGAAGAATGGTATTATTATTATGTTGGCAAGTATTTTGCTGGTTTGGTCGATTACATGCTGGAACAATAGGACCTGTACGAGAATGTTGATGTTGATGTTGATGATGATGAGGATGAAGATGTTGTTGTTGTTGTTGTTGTTGTTGTTGTTGATGATGAAGATGAGAGACTTGCTGGTTTATGGTAGCTGTGTTAAGACTAAGGGCTGGTCTTGATGGAGAGTGTGCTGGAGAGGCAGGAATAGAGCCTATTGGCAATTGCTGCAAAATCTTTTGAGAGTTATGGTTCATCATTATTATATGTTGTTGTTGTTGATGCTTGTTAAACTGGTTAACATTGTGGTGATGATATTGTTGTTGTTGTTGTTGTTGTTGTATTGGCTGTGCTTTTATTCTTTTTGTTATTATTGTTGAATGTAACGCTGGAGAATAAGAGTCGCGCGATAAAATTGAATTTGAATTTGAATTTGAAGAAGAAGATACCAGAGCTGAGTCTGGAGTAGCCACCGCAACTAAATCAGATGAGAGCGCAGACATGGCGGCTTTCTAATTAGATAGAGAAGGGGGTTATTTAGATTTTACAAGTATCAAAGTTATTTGTAGTTTTTTTTTTTGTTATTTTTAAAAAAAAAAAAAAAAAAAAAAATAAGAATTTTATTTTGTTTTTGGAAAAGTTGGTTTGGTTGGTTTGGTTGGTGGTAGTGGTGGTGGTGGTGGAGGTAGTAGTAGTAGTAGTAGTAGTAGTTGTTTTTATTATTATTATTTTAAATAAAATGTATGTGTTAAGTATTTAAATATAAAAAATAAAAAAAAAAAAAAATAAATATTTAGTTTTTTTTTTTTTTTTTTTGGGGGGAAGGAGTAGTAATATAATTATAATAATATTAAATAATAATAAATAGAAGGGGGATAAATGATGGGAGGGGTTGTTGTTGTTGTTGTTGTTTTTAATTTTTTTTTTTTTTTTTGGTGGTTTTGAAAAAAAAAAAAAAAAAAAAAAAAAAAAAGTTATTTTTAGGGGAATGGCAGTTTTTTTTTTTTTTTTTTTTTTTTTCCCTTAAAAATTCCTAAAAAAAGTAAAACGTCATGCTTTTTAATTTTCAAATCAAATCAAATAAAAAAAAAATATATATATATATATAAATATATAAACACACAAGAAGAGCCTCAAAAAAAATATTGTAACAAAAAAGTGTAATATAATATATATATATATATATAGATTAAATTAAAGTAAATCAAAAAATATAAATCAAAAAATATAAATCAAATCAACTAAAATCAACTAAAATCGATCGAAATGGCAAATCAACAACCATTTCGTTCATCAACCCCGATCTTTAGAGAAAAAGAATCAACATCTAATTCTAATTCTACTTCTACTTCTACTTCTAATTCTAATTCTAATTCTAATTCTACTTTAAAACCTCCAGGAAAAAGATCAACTTCTAGATATTCCATAAATAAACAATTGCCTGTTTTTGTAGATCCATCATCATTATCTTCTTTTTCTTCTTCTTCTTCTTCATCTCCAAAAATAGTAAATATTATAACCACCTCCAACATTACAAAACAACCCCAAACTAATCAAACTAATCAAACTAATCAAACTAATCAAACTAATCAAACTAATCAAACTAATCAAACTAATCAAACTAATCAAACTAATCAAACTAATCAAGCTAATCAAACTAATCAAACTAATCAAACTAATCAAAATAATCGAGTCTTTAAAGATCATAAAACTTCCCATAACAATACAAATAAATATCTAAAACAATCATCGTCCCCAATCTTTCAACAAAAGCAAAATATTTTAATTAGTTCCAAGAAACTTCCAATTTTTAAACCAACTGATAAGATACTACAACCTACATCAAAACTTCCCATCTCTTCTTCTTCTTCTTCTTCATCTTCATCTTCATCTTCATCTTCATTATCATTATCAGTATCTTCTTCCTCTTCCTCTTCCTCTCTCTTTCACTCTCCTTCTCCTAAAAAATCATGGTCAGGACACGTCCCTCTAGGTCTCTCAGACTATATCCATGCTGCTGTTTCTGACATTGTCCATGCCACAGAATCAAAACATGCCCAGCTAACAGCCCCAGAAACTCCACTTGAAACTCAATCACGCTGTGACCGCCAAATGCTTCGTGAATTACATGCACAAAATATATTTGATGTCATTGTCCCTACTGATATCTTGGAAAAGTCTAAAGATATCTTTACAATCAAACAATCTATCAAACTTAACAGAAGGTCTTGGCGTGTGATTTTTGAAGAATCAGATACTCCAGTACTTCTTCTTGATGTTGCAAAAAAAATAACCCACCAGAAAAATCAAGAAATTTCTCCAGGAACTCTTATTCGAATTTCAGGTAAACCATATTATGAATCTGGCCCTATTTGTGCTTATGTACAGTGGGGGATAATTGCTGTTGATTAATTGAGTTGTAGTAGTTAATCATGGTTATGGTTATGGTTATGGTTATTGTAAATTTAAATTTATTTTTCTTGTTTTTTTTTTTTTTGGTGGGTTTTTTTTTTTTTTTTTTTTTTTTTTATCAGTGTGTTGTTGTCGTTGTCTGCTAGCCAGTGAAAAGTTTTTTATTTCAATAGTCACCAACAATTTCAATCTTTATTATCATTATTATCATTATTATCATTATTATCAACACCATCATCACTTCCCAAATGTCAAGAGTCTTTTTTAGACGATTCGCTACAAAACCTCAGGCAAAACCTCAAGCTAAGCCCCAGGCTAAGCCTCAGGCTAGACCAACAGCCGCTACAGAATTCCGACATGACTATACAGTCACCCCAGATATGTACTCGTATACAACAGATCTCAACCGTGAGACTTTTGAGCGCCTCCCCCTACTCACAGCAAAGCGCCAGGCGCGCAATGCTGAGCGCCCACGCAATGCCAGACTCTTGACTCGTGACTTTATTGATGACTCGCTTTATCACCCTCGATATGGTTACTTTTCTAAAGAAGTCCGTATTTTTACTCCGGAAAAACCCTTTGACTATCATGAAATCAAAGATGTAGATGACTTTATGGACAAGTGGACTGGTGAATATAAACGATACGAAGACAAGGAACGCAACACCCAATTATGGCATACCCCAACTGAACTCTTTAGACCACACTATGGTGAGGCTCTTGCGCGGTATCTTTTGGTTAATTATATGCTTTCTCTTTACCCATATGCCGACTTGACCATTTATGAAATGGGTGGTGGTAATGGTACATTAATGGTCAACATTATGGACTTTATCCGTAAAACAAGACCAGAAGTTTATGAACGAACCCGTTATAAAATCATTGAAATTTCAGGGAACCTTGCTAGCAAACAAAATGAAAGTTTGGGTAGCCGAGCAGCTGCTACAGGACATCAAGACAAGGTTGAAATCATCAACAAGTCAATTTTTGAGTGGACTGCAGAGGTCCCAGAACCATGTTTTTTCATTGCCCTTGAGGTTTTTGATAATTTTGCTCATGATGTGATTCGTTACGACAATGAAACAAGTAGACCGTATCAAGGGTATGTTGTTGTGGACGGCAACGGTGATTTTACTGAAGTTTACTCTGCGGATCTTGATCCTGTAGCTGAGCGCTTTTTGCGACTCCGAGATGAGCTTGGGGGTCTTCCTAACCCAGTTACTTCACCTCTTGGGTTCCACCCATTGGCTCAACCCAAGGCATACCGACGTTTGAAAAACATGCTTTGGCCATTCCGTGAGAATTTGTCCCCCCCAGAATATATCCCCACGAGGTACCTTGAATTTTTAGATATTCTGCGGCGATATTTCCCCGAGCATCGTCTACTGACTTCTGATTTTACTCATCTCCCAGATGCCAGTCCTGGCTATTGTGCTCCTGTAGTGCAAACAGTTTTGGATGGTAAGATGGTACCTGTGCCAACTTATATGGTATTGCAAGGGTATTTTGATATTTTGTTTCCCACAGACTTTGAAATGGCAAGTATGTTATATCGCAAAGTGTGTAACAAACTTATCAATAGAGCGTCTCATCGTGATTTCCTTGAGCAATGGGCTGAGCTTGATGCGACAACTACTCGTGCAGGTGAAAACCCCATGCTATCGTTTTATCAAAATGCCGCCTTTATGTATAGTTAAATTAAAATGTAATTACGTTAAGTTTTTTTTTTTTTAAAAAAAAAAAAAAAAAAAAAAACTTATCAAATCTATTATTATTATTATTATTATTATTATTATTATTATTATTATTATCATCATTAAAATTTGCTTTTGGGTATATACACAACCACCATAACTATACCCAAATGTCACAGCAGCTGCCTTATAAATTGTAAGTTTAAAAAAAAAAAAAAAAAAAAACTATAAGTCAATTTTTTTTTTTTTTTTTTTTGATATAAACTAAACAACCCATTTAAAATAGAACATTGAAAATCCCGTTTGATTCGGAACCCCATGCCAATGTTGTTCTTCAGAGCTTGCTTCCTGATAAAGAACTACGACCGGACCAAGTGACTCGTATACTAAGTCTGGAAGGCCCCATTCTTGTAGCCGACTATTCAGCAGCTTCAGATCGAGTACTTCGTGTTACCATTAATGCTTTACTTGACTCAGTGGCCATGCTTGTTGAAGCCATTGACGGACTTGAAGATATATGAAAAAGGAAAGAGGTTTAAACAGGTCCTACCTATCTATCTCTGGTTTGTTCCAGTCATGTGATGGCGGTTATTAAGGACCAAATATATATATATTTCGTTTAGTATATATACTGATTTATTTATATATAAAACGTACTTTTTTTCACATTTGTGATTTTAATTAGGAATATTTATTTTATTATTAAATTTTTTTTTTTTAAAAAAAAAAAGTCCTTTGTTTATTTGCTCTATATTTATTGGAAAGTAACTTTTTTTTTTTGCAAATGTCCAGCGAACTGTTTTAATATAAATATTTCTATTACTTACCACCACTATTTTATATTTTAAATAAAATAATAATAAAAATAATAATAAAATCCAGAATTTTTTTACAAGTTCTTATTTTTTTTTTATTTTACTCTTTCTTCCTTTTCTTTCCCTCCCCCCTGAATTACAATTTGAATACTTTGTGAATATTTTTCTTTTTTAAATAATAATAATAATAATAATAATAATAATAATAATAATAATAATAATAATAATAATAATACAATTCTTTCTTTATTAAAAGGAAAAGAAAGAAAAAGACCTTGTGATCTATATAAGACTGGTCTTTCTTTATCTTTTTTCTTTCTTTTTTTCTTTCTTTCCTTCTTTCCTTCTTTCCTTCTTTCCTTCTTTCCTTCTTTCCTTCTTTCCTTCTTCTTCTTCTTCTTCTTTTAAAAAAATACTTTCGTTTTCAATGGATCCTCATGATGATGACCCTCTGGACTATACTGCCCACCGACTTCTTCCTCACGGACTGTTGATGGCCTATCCTCAGCGACAACAGCAACAGCAACAGCAACAGCAACAGCAACAACAGCAGCAACAACAACAATACAATTCTTACCGTCAGCAACAACAGCAGCAGCAGCAGCAGCAGCAGCAACAGCAATTCCAGCAATCTCATTACCAGCAAACTTCAAGTTCTTCTTCTGCCGCTGCTACTGCCATTTCTACACCTTATGGTCGCAATCCTTACTCGGAACAACCCTCAGCCATGGTCCCAACATCGTCTTCAGGTCACAATTCTAATCTCAACCATCACAATCACCACCACCCACAAACTTCTTCTGATCTCACATCTCTTCTTCTAGCCAGTGCTGCATCTTCTCCTTCCAATCATCCAGGAACAGCTTTTACTTTCCCATATGCTCATGGAGGGCCATCTCCTGCTTCTTCAGCTGCAATTCTTGGGGGTGGAAATCTTAGTCATGGCTTGCCCCCAAGCACTGCTGCTACAACTGGGCCTCCATTTCTTATGGCATCTTCTTCTGCTGCTGCTCTTACGGCCAACATGTCTTCTTCATCTCTTTCACGTGCTGCAGATTCGCCCATGAGTTCTAGTACGCACCTTCGGAGTAATGGTGTTGTTGCAGCTACTTCGGCAACTGGTACTGGATTTGGAATGGGTGTTGGAGTAGTAGGAGGTATTAATTCTGGTGCGGTTCTACTGGGGATGACAAACCCTGCGTCCACCATAAATAATAATAATAATAGTAATAATAGTAATAACATTAGTGCCACCACCACCACCATAGCTGTACCACAACAACAACCACCACCACAACCACAACCACAAGTTGCCACAGCCTCCTCTTGTGCTCCCGTCAGCACTACCACCACTAATATTTATCACAACACCACCACCACCAATCCAACTACTAATAATTATTCTAACAATATTACTTATAATAACCCAAACAACAGTTTTCACAATATTCCCACAATGGCTGGCACTGGAATGCCAGAAAATTCCATGGCATATGCTTATGACCAAGAAGTCTTTGCAAGAAACCGTGAACTAGCTCAGGCTGACCCTGATTATTCAAGGGCCATGTCATCAAGCAATAATAATAATAATAATAATAACAACAACAACAACAACAACAACAACCAACAAACTGCCTATGGGACTTATCAATACTCCAATACCCAAAACAATTCATACAGCATTTCTCAACAAGCAAGTGATGGCCAAGAAGCTCCAGAGCTTTTTCGTCCAACTCTCTCTTCCCGGGTCAAAAAACAACAACAACAACAACAACAGCAGCAGCAACAACAACAAAGAGCAGCAGCAGCAGCAACAGCATATACTAGCAGCCCATATGGAACTGCAACACCTACCACTGTTGCAGCAACTGCAGCATCGTCTCCAGCACCTCCAGCACCTTCTGTTGTTCGTACATCTTCGCCAATGGCCACGTCGACTAATCAATATCATCAACAACAATATGGAACTTCTCTTTTAAAGCAACCTGAGCAGTATGCAACCCGCATGACTCCATCTTCTTCTTCTCCTTCTCTATCTGCTCAAATAACTAATCAAACTCGACAAGCAAAGGCAACCTCTGCAGCCGCCCATGCTGCCCATGCAGCCCACGTTGCAGCTGCTACCGGAAGCCAATCTGCTATGGTTGCAGCAGCAGCAGCAGCAGCAGCAGCAGCAACAACAACGACTACAACTGCAACAGCAACCACAACCAACTCAGGCGGCGGTACAACCGGAAGCCCAAGGTCTCGTGGGGTTCGCAAGAAATCTGATGTCAAGGCCAAGATTCTTTTACGCAAAGATGATTCTCCTTATGGTATCATGTCTGGAGTTCCAACCAGTTCTAGGGCTCTTGACGATCCATCATACCAAACGTATCAATATTCACGAACAAAACAACAAGCATCACAGCAGCCACCGTTACCTCAACAACAACAACAACAACAACAACAACAACAACAGCAGCAGCAGCATCAACAACAACAGCAACAGCAACAGCAGCAACAGCAACAGCAGCATCAGCATCAGCATCAGCAACAACAACAACAACAACAACAACAACAACAGCAGCAACAACAGCATCAACAACAGCATCAACATCAAAGAGCTCCTGTTCCTCCTACATCTGTTGCAGCTCCTACTGCGGCACCTGTGGTTCCACCTAAACCTCAAATGCTTACTCTGCAATACCTCCAACTCCAACAACAACAAGCAGCAGCAGCAAAGGGCCAACGCAGACACTACAATGAAGGATACAAGGACCGAATCAAATCTCTGGATAAACCTGGATCATCTGGATCTTACCGACTAAACTTGGATCGGTCCCAAACAATCAAGGAACTGCAGCACATTTTTTCCCAAATCTCAGCACTAGAGCCTCGGTGTCAAGCAGCACTCGATACATCACAAAACAGCGAGCTGCTGGCTTCATATGATGAAGACAAGTGGAATGAGATTGCAGATGAGCAAATCAAACTGGTGGAGTTGTATGGTGACTTTTTATTTTACGCAAGTGTTGGTGGCCAAGATGAAGACTCTTCATCATCATCACGAGGACTACAGGGGCTTGTACGGAAGTATAAGATTCCCACCCGAATGTGGAACTATGGAATTTCACTTTTTATTGATTCTTTGCGAGACGCACGGCCACAGTACACTGCAGTTTTGGGCCGGTTCATTGTACACTGTATGAATTTGTTGATGCTTTATGTCGATCCGATTTACGAAACCCGGCATGTATGGATTGAGTCACTTGGAGATTTGGCATTTGTTTGTTTGATTTCGGAAGTCAAGGCGTGTGCAGACTGGCCCGAAATGTGCATGTACTGGTATGGCCAACGTATGATGCTGACACCAGGGACTGGTCGGGTGTACCGGCACATGGCTTCGATTAGTATGGTGCGCATGGACAAGCTATTTTATATTTGCAAGAGCATGACAACGACACAGCCAGCAGACTTGGGTGATTCTGGAGAGATTTTGTCAATGTTATGGCAGCCCAAGGATTATATGGCAGTGACTTCTTCGTCATCTTCTTCTGCAGCATCTGGGGGAGTTGAGACTGGCCCGATTGCACAAAGTATTCGGGATGTTTGTTTATTGCATTTACAAGCCATGGGCTACATTGACTTTGAACGGTTTACAGTGAGCTCTACGTTAAAGACGGCCATTATCAATAGTGGGTGTGCCTTTTTAGGTCGCCGAACCAAGTCAGCGGAAGAGAGGAAAGCGCAAGGAGGTGCGCTCAGTTGGCGTGACTCTCTTGTAACTGCATCGGGTCCGCCGGACCCAATTGTTGCGCATGGAGCAGTTGTTGCCTTTTGCAATATTGCAGCACTGCTTGGACATGGATCACATGACCACCCATTATTTCGGTTGTTTTACATGGTTTACCAAAAGAAGCGAGCAAGCAGTAGTGGCAAGTCTGGAGGATCCACGGCCTCAATTCAAGAAACCCTTAGTTCCTCTGCTGAGTATGAGCAATATATTCGGCAATTTTGGGATTTATCGACGGAATATGAGACAGCCAAGGAGGGAGAGAATACTGGACATGTGCAGACGGAGCTTGCGGTACGTCGGATCCGGCAGATTGCGATGCCACGGCTTTTATCGTTTGAGATGCTCTATGCGTTTTTATCAGCAAAGGAGTGGCCTGTGGGGCTGCAACACGTGATTGTATATCTCTACTTTTTTATTGCGTTGTGTGAGAGTTTCCCTGCTAGTATTGGACCTCAGTCGACGAGTCCGAATGATATTATATATCATGTTTATTTTACTGGGTTTGATGCAGATTTATTTGCAGGGTACTTGAACAAGCTTGTTGAGGTTGCTGCACAGAATAAATTTGCAGTTGATTTGAGGACGGGTGAGACTGCTGAGTTGAATTATGGTGGTATAGCTGAGGTTCCTGAAGATGGACTTTCGGTTGATTTAAGGAGGCGCCGAAGGATTGCAGAGCTTCGTCGGATGTATTTGAAGAAGCAAAAGCTGAGGAGGAATAGAGTGAGAAGAGCAGGAAATGATTATGGTGGTGGTGGTGGTGGTGATGATGATGATGATGATGTTGTTGATATTGATGAAGAGGAAGAGGACGAAGTAGGAGATGAAGATGATGAAGATTTAGAAGAAGATGAAGAAGAAGAAGAAGAAGAAGATTATGATGATAATGTAGATGTGGATGTGAATGTGGGAGAAATGGGAGAGAATGGTATGAGTAATAAAGATATTTATTGGGGATTGTTTGGGAATAGTGGAGAAGGGAAAGTTTATGTTGGTGATGCAAGACATGTTCGACCAATTCCTAGGGTGGAGGAACGTCCATTACCAGAAGAGTATCATGTTAGAGGGTTTGTATGGGCGGCAGCACTTAGCAAGTATCCTTGGGTGAGTGTTTCAGCTACAGCAAATTGTGGGCATGGGAGAGGAGCGACTGCTAGTGCTACATCTATTGCGAATACTGCAGCTGCTAATTTAGCACATGCTTATGAAGGGTGGGGTGAGGGTAGGAATGGTGTGAATAAAGATGCTGCTACAGGGGAGGAGCAAGAGGAAAGGAAGAAAGATCCATTGATTGGTCCATTGGAGATTGGTGTTCCTGATGAAGCGCATGTTGCAGCAGCAGGCCCCGAGTATTTGGACATTGTAAGAGTTCGTCGGGCTTTGAAGCTTGGAGTTGATCTTGCACGGGTTTGTCCGTGGTTGGGGATTGATTATAATTCACGGAGGTTTATTGCACGGAGTATGTAATTATT